CAGTGACACACATGTAAAGCGAGGCCATGTGAAGCGAGGTGGGTGCGGATTGCACACAACACTGACTGTGAGAGCCGGCTCTCCCTCTGCATCCACTCACAGTGCTGTTACGGTTCAGTCGTCACCCCGCAAACTCTAGGTATGCAAGGACCATTAGCAAAACTGCCCTAGCCTAGGAGACCATCCCAGTTACAACAATCTTGCAGCCCACGGAGATGGAGGGCTCCTCATGGAGCCCACTCACTAGCGTAAGTTGCCCATCACTGTTATAAAGAAAATCACTGAGGTATCAGTTCTCCGCACATGGCACCTTCTTCACCTTCGTGCACGTAAAACAAGTCCTATTCAGGAGGCCCCAGACTTGCGACCTCCCAAGTTCTGACCCCCCGCACTTACAAAAATGGTTGTAAGTGGGGAAGGGGCTAGAAACCCCTGACTTACATCCTCTGCCCGCATTTACGACAGCGCACGGCGCCTATCGTAAACGAGGGTTTGAGTTACGACGCCCCGACTTGCGATGCTTCCCGCAGAACCAATCGCGTCACAAGTCAGGGGCTTCCTGTACATTACATTACACACAATGCACACAGTATAGATGTATATATAGATAATGCATAGTGTTTATGTATTGAGACTGTGCAATATGTTTCCCTTCTTCCAGACACTCAGAAGTGGGGATTTGTTTGTTTGTCTGAAGTGGGCCGTCTGACTCTCTCGGCCAAGTTTATAAGGAGAGGTTAGGGAGACAGGAAATGTCTTTGATGAGATAGATTTTTTTTCCCCAGTTGACAGCAGCTTTGCCACTAGGAAGCCTGTTCTCTCTGCAGCTAATGAAGGATGCTTTCTGAAGGATGCTGTTATTGTCTTCACCAGGTAGGCGATCTGCAGTGCTGCACACTAGAAGTAATTACAGCCTCCCTTAAGGTTGCTCTGGGTGCTCTCATTCCTGACAAAGGCTACTGGGTGCCTTCGAGGATGCTGTCATTCTTTTAGATCCTGCTTGCTGAAGTCATTGAAGCTGCACATCTTTTTGCTGGGAGGCACAGCCCTCATACAAGAGGGAACGTTCTTTGTCAGCCCGGTGCATTGCAAAACGCACCCATTAACATCAGTACTTTGCTGATAGGTACAGCAGCGTTTAATCCATAGATCTCAAAGCACTTGATAAAGATAGGTAAGTAATCTCTCCACTTTACCTCCATCCCTGCCCCCTTCAGCAGAGGAGTGAGAACGCCAAACAGACCATGGGGAGGGATAGTGGAAGAATTCCTGGCTCCTAATCCTGAAGCAGCAGCTTCCCACTAGCAATGAAAATGCACCTTCCGGACCCATCCACGACTGGCAGGGGAAAGGGTCACGTAACCATGTTTAGGGCAAAGAGAGGGAGGGAATGATCTGGGTGAAACTGTGATCTCAATGAAATCAAAGGAAGTTTTGCTATGGACCCCAAAAAGGTCAGGATCTATCCCCGCCCCCAAGTCTCTCAACACTCTAAGGGTACGTCTAGATCAGGGGTCTCCAAACTGCGGCCCGCGAGGCCCTCTCATCCGGCCCGTGGAGACCGTCCCTGGGGCGCCGCCGAACGGGCCCTTCTTGCCGCGGGGGGGGGGGCCCTGTCAGGGGTGTGCGGCGTGTACTCACGCCGCGCCGGGGCAGGAGAAGCGGGCCGCTCCGCTGACAAGCGGCCGTGCGGCGGCAAACGGCGCAGGGGGCGGGGGTTAGCACAGGCGGGGGGGCCCCCCCCCCACACGCCCAGCAGCCGGCCAATCAGGGGGCAGGATGGGCGGTGGTGGTAACGCCCGCCC